AAGTTCATGTTTGGCACTTGGCACTGTTTGTGCTGATTTGAAATTAGAATAGAAATAGTATCGATCTGTGTACAAATATCACCTTCTTACTCGTATATATATCAGATCAAGATTCTCATACTTGTATTTGACCTCCAGCTTTCCTTTCACGCACTCAATTCGTCAAGATCTGCCTATCAGTTGATCACCTTCAAGCCAGACCTCTTTGATGTGTTTACAGTATCTGGCGAGCAGGTTCAGTGCAGCGTTCTTCTAAAGGTATATTGTCGCTTCTCATCTTTGTAGTATATTTGTCAGTTTATAGCTGTAAGCAACTTACAAACACTTATAAAGTACTCTGTGCAGGCAGTCTGTTCTGTCCTTAGAACACCTATTACAAACATTGATTATTTGAGCGTGCAATTACCAGACATCAATGCATCAAAAGTTCAATGGGCTCTGCAGTGCTTCAATGGTAAACACCTTTCAGTTGCGTGCGTGGCGCTCTGAATTCATTATGTTCAAAATGGTGTATTTGATGGTTAAGATTGCAAGCTCGTGTCACAGATGGAAAAGTTAGCGGATTCCTTTTTCCCCTTAAAAATAATCGCGCTCCAATTCTATGGGAAAACAGCAGAAATGAAGTCTTGAAACTGACATGTTCATTGAGAGAAAATGACTGCAAGATGCTGTGCATTTATACGTCAGGTCATATGTGTCCATGGAGACGAGCTTTTCTAATTTCTCATCATGTAAAAGCAGCATGAACTCCGTCAAACGAATTTTGCAGTGCCCCAATATGACCAATAAAGCTAACGAATTCAGAATAAAGAGACAGGGAAGTTTATGTTAAAAATTAGATACCAATGTCTACCACTTTTACTATTTTTTTTGTTAGCCATTTACCATTTTAAGTCTTTGACTCAGTCATGCTAACTACATACTATTCAGTATGTTACCTAACTGCAATATAAATCGGAGGCTGGCACCTGTCAAACCTGCATTAATTTGATAAGAAGCTGCACCATGCAGAAATACATGTTTATCCCACCGTGCCAACTGTGAGTGTTGTCATATGCATGCAGGTATTAAGAAAACATACTAGATTACTTGCAATGTTGACCCCGACATACAACAATTATCTCTGGATCGGAGAAGATACCCAAGCAATTTTGGAGTGAGGCCTCGTGATCTGAATAGATTGCTTGCAAATTTTCAGTCATCCCTTCAGGAAATTACTATCATTGCAACAAAACGCAACTCCGACCCTTCTGATGCTGCAAGTGAATTTGGTGGGAAAGCTGTTGAGTTTTGAAGCTACATTGATCCTACCAAAGGTAGAGATTTACTCTATTCTTTTCAATCGAATATGGAGAAGAATATCATGGGTCAGATTCTGGTTGCAGAGAACGACTCTTTGCTGCACACTCAGCTGTGGATAGATCCTGCAGAAGAGCTTGTGCAGTATGCTCATAACGGCAACCCAGTAGACGTGACTTTTGCTGTCAAAGAGGTGAAGGTGTTCCATCTGATTCGTTTTTTATTATATTAACTATCAAGACATTTGGGTCATAAATTCAGCTAAAAGTTCTTGAACATATGACTTCACTTTCAAACTTATCTCCATTTCCTTAAAATTAGTCCACCTAGCTGCTGAAATGCTATTGGAGTCACATTCAGGACCATCTTTTATGTCAAAGTTTTTCCTTGTGTTTTCCAGTGAACATGATAATATTTAACCTTTGTCCATCTCATGGAAATCCAGGCATTTCTTGCATTCTGTGAGGGATGTGAAGTTGACATTCATTTGTACTTTGAGGAGGCCGGCAAGTAAGTAAATTCTAAATGCTCTTTTGTATCTTACCTTCTATCCATTTTTTTTCCACGCTTCACTTCAATTTTGTTTATGCGAGTAGCTCAGATGCAACAAGTAGCTTTCACGCAATCAGTGCATAACTGGTTTTATTAGATGACAGATTGCTAGTTATCTGCTCAGATACCTAAAAGATGCTAATGCATAGCTTCACAATCACAATTTTAAAGGCCCATGGCAATGTTACTTTTGGGCTAAATATAAAACAACGAGAGACTATCATTGAAAATTTGGTTGATAAAACATAGTGCGCCTTCTAATTAAGTCTGGATAATAATAGCTTAAAGAGGTTTAAGTTCAGATGATAAATGGTTTATTTATCAAGTTTGATGCAAGATGCTAGTAAAGTATGCCGGCTAAAAATATCAGTGCAAAACTTGATGGTAATATGTCTTTTGACTTTACTTTTTGGTACTAATTTCTTGGTTTCAGATGCAACATCTCTGCCGTCACAGAGCGGTGTAAGTGCCAATGCAAAATAGAATAAATGGTGTTCACCCTCAGCAGAGACCTTTGCTCGCTCGATCACTTTGCTCTCACGTGTCAGAAACGACTTCGCTATTCCAGCTTCTCCTTCCCAGGTGAATCAATTTCTTCCACATTTCTTCTCCTCCTCTGACTCTCTCACCCACAACTCCAGTGAAAAAGTTTGCGGTCGCCACTGAAATCCATGTCGATTAGTCCTCAGCTTCATCCATCTAGTGAAACGCTAAGTAGTTGCTTATTTTTATCCTGACGAGTGATGTTTAGTTTAGATGCTATGTTGTGTTAGTAGGTATTGGCTTGTTTCACTCGATATAGTGTCCGATTGAGAAATTTTAAGTCTCCTTCAATCGATTGCCGAGTCGTGAAGCTTTTGGTGGTGGATTGGAAGCAGAAATTTGTTAACCAAGGTTGTGATCAGCCCTGTCGATGATGATTACAACTTGACGTGCATAAATCTGCAGTCATTGAAAGAATCCAATACTGCTGATACTTGATGGGGTGATTCAAATTCATCACATCCTAAGCCTAAGGTAATACACAGCTATAGCCAGCAGATCTATCAGTTCTATCGTGTAAAATGCCGAATGGTTAAACCATAGTAAAAAACCTATGGATAGCCTTCTATGGGTGCTGTCATTCAGTCTTGATAGTGCTTTCCTGGTTTGTCTAGTTACGTTGATGGTGTTGCATGGAGTTTTGCAGCACTTAACGAGTGAAAGCGCGATTACATTCGCTTGTATAAGTCTTACATAACCATACTTTTCATGACTTACTTTTGCTTCGTTGCATTTGATTACCAAATAACAATAGAAAGTTCCAAGTTCTAAGGTCATGTTTGGCACTTGGCACCATTTTTGCTGATTTGTTGTGTACAAATTTCACCTTCTTACTTGTAGATATCATATTAAGATTCTGATATTCTTATAAAGCCTCCGGCTTTCCTTTCACGCACTCAATTCGTCAAGATCTGCTTATCAATTGATTACCTTCAAGCCAGACCTCTTTGATATATTGACAGTATCTAGTGCACAGATTCAATGCCAACCTTCTTTTGAAGGTACGGTGTCATTGCTCATTTTAGTGGAATAATTTGACAGTTTATAGTTGTAAGCCACTAACAAAATAATATGTGCATGCGGTCTGTTATGTCCTTAGGACACCTATTACAAACATTAATTATTTGAGTGTGCAATTACCAGACATCAATGTGTCAGAAGTTAAATGGACTCTGCAGCGCTTCAATGGTAAAGGCCTTTCAGTTGTGTGTATGGTGCTCTGAATTCATTATGTTGGAAATGGTGTATTTGAAGGTTAAGATTGCAAATTTGTGGGCATAGATGGAAGGGTTAGAGGATTCCTTTGTCCCCCTAAAAATAATCTCGCTCCAACTCTATCAAAAAAAAAAACCAGCAGAAATGAAGTCTTGAAACTGACATGTTCATTGAGAGAAATGGACTGCAAAATGCTGTGATAAGCATCGTCACAGTAGTATGTGCCCATGGAGATGGGCTTCTCCATATTCTCATCATGTAAAAGCAGCGTGAAATCTGTCAAATGGATATTGCAAGGCCCTAGTTTGACCCATAAAGCCAACAGGTTCATAATAAAGCGGCGGGGAACTTCAGATCAAACGGATGTTGCAGTCCTCAATGCTCGCGTTTACTCTATGACCTGAAACAGATCCGATCCTCGATGGGGCGGGCTGGTCCAGGCCCAAAATCCCTGCTGCATGGGATCACTGAGAATAATTAGGCCCATACTAGAGATAATATGTTTATGGACCATCCTAGAAAAAGGGATTTAATCAAATTGTCCTAGAGTGAGTGCCGGTTAATCAGTACTGTATAGAAAACAAATCCAATGAGGATTTCAACCTCAAACTTGTATAGAAAAGCTCTATGAAATGATTGCCTTTTTCTTAAATATACCATTGTGAACAAAATGGAGAAAATTGTCGTTGAAAAATAGTTAATGTATAATCCTCTAAATATCTTTTTAACGTTGAATATAAATCTTACAATCATTTGATTTTTGGTCCTATATTAATATTTATTTTAATACTTGACTTCCATAAATTTAATTTTTTTTTCCACATGCATGCGTGTACTCTTTTCATGGCAGGGGAAAAAAGCAACTCTCTTAGTTCACGTGTTATTATCGTGTAATGTAGAAAATAACATAACACGCACAAATGGCCGTCGTTTTCGGCCCACAACCATACAATAGGCATGAGTACCTAGTTACATTACCAACTATTGTATGAACATGAAATTACCAAGTAATTTTGGTAAACCAGTCTCAAAAGCACAACGATAGTGATAAAATCAAAGCATTGTGATGTAAAAGTTGTTCAAAGTAATAATAGTACAACACAAGGTTTATGTCCAAGCAAACAACAATGGACAACTTCAAAAAGAGCAAGCCACAGCATGCAGAGACCCGGAAACTATCTCCATTATCTAATTCATGATGGATGCGAATGCCATCAGGACGCAAAGGATGAAAATCAGCCGAGGCATGTCACCAAACAGAACGTACATCAGCAGCCCACACTTGACACATTTGAGAGCTACAAAAATGATAGTGAACATAAGTCGGAACCTTGGGTCCATATCTTGGCCACTCATCCTGACGAATTTGAGCACTGTGTAGATTCGCATAATTTTTCCATGGGTAGTGTTGGCTGGAACATCCAGGTACTGTAAGGCTTCAATCAGGTGCTCCTCCAGGGAATCAAGATGTGGGATAATTGCAGCAATTTGATCAGCAAACTCCGCTCCACGTCTTGGAATTAAAATCAGCAAACTACTTGTTAGGCAACAGTTTTTTGCGAAAGCTCAAGTTTTGAGCTCTTTCTGCATCATATAAGACGACGGTCTATCCAAAAGCTATTAAGAGCCCCCAATTTAGGTTCAAAAGGAAATTTAATGCGCGGTATGATGCCAAGCTTCTAGTGCAAATCATAGTTAAATGAGTCCATGCACTGCAGAAGTTTAACCTCTGCATGCGCTGCAGGAATGTAACGCATCTATTCATCCACAGCCAATTAAGCTAATGAAAACTTTCTTTTCGAAAAAAATTAACTTAAGAGAACTAGGGGATATCTCCCTAACAATCACTCTAACAACACCTATACACAAAACAAAACCACCCAGATGCACAAAACTACTTGGTAAGCCCCATGCTTAACGGAGAAATGCTAATTGCAGGTCTTAGCTTTTGTTAGGAGGAAAAGCTAGTGAGACTTTCAATTAATACGCTGTTCTTAATACGATTCTCTCTTGACAAAAGAAAGAAACAAAGAGTATATTCGGTCGCGTCTCTTCACTACTGTGATGGAATTTTCTAGCCTAGTAACTTTAGGAGAAGTTTTACATTCTTTCCAATTTCGTGATTTTCAAAAAAAGATGACAGTCATTATGTTAATTCACTTTCCCCGGACAAAATCTGCCGTTTTAATGTGAATCATAGTTGAGAGCAACCGTATTCGATTACCAAATTAATATCATGAAAATTTACCAATTCGCATAAAAAAAAGGCTCAGTGACAACAAGAAACATTCTTACTTTTTGACGGATTAATACCCACTGAATAATACTCTCTTATGAGCACGAGCAAGCATGCTCTGTTCTGAGAGTTGAGTCATCATGAATATTGAGAACAAAAATCTGGATTAATTAGCAAAATGATAGAAGACAAAATCTGGGTGGTACAACATAACTACCCCAATGCAGGAAATGCAAGAAACAAGCCATTTTGCATCCACCAGATATGCCCCTAAGTACATGCTCTGTTCTGAGCAGAGCCAATTTCTGCTCTTTGAGAGTCGAGTCATTACGATTTATGAACATCAAGAACAAAAACCTGGCTCAATCAACAAAAAGAGAAAATATAGGAAAAAATCTGGGTGCAAAAAGTGGTGTCCCAATCCGACTCTCACAATCTAATGCAAAAAAACAGGCCATTTTTACAGACAAGTGAAAGACCCTATTGGGCTCTTAAGTGTTGAACATTACGAGCTCAGAATGCATCACCAAGTTCACCTGATTCACGTAAAGTGCAGGTTTTTCAGACATTAAACCGCATTCACGTAATGGAATATACACAGCAGACATGATCAAAGATAGGAACGGGAAAGGATATCAAGATATCGGCGTTATTTTACTCGCAATCCTCCAACTTACCAACGGAGGCTCGGCTACAGTGGTTAAGATATGTTTGAGGTCACCGAAGCTTACCTCCTACTACCGTGATCGGCTGGATTGTTTGAGTTCGCCATTAACCTTCCAAACTTTGCCTCGCCAGTCTTTTTCTTGCTTGGCTGAAAATGAGAACAGGGTGGGGCTGTGAAAAACCATGAAAAACCACATGGAGTGAGCTTTTCATATTAAAAAAACTCATTCTTTAATAGATCATCGATCGACCGAATTATCGACCGAAAAAAACTCATTCTTTAATAGATCATCGATCGACCGAATTCGGTCGATCAATGATCTATTAAAGAATGAGTTTTTTTAATATGAAAAGCTCACTCATTCTCTTAGATGTTTTAATGGGCGAATTTTTTCATATGAGCCCAACTTAACCTTGTTTAAGCATGGACTGAGATTTTAAGGTTCATGGGCCGTTAGCTGATCTGGGCCACGTGAGATGGGTTGGTTTAAAGGGTCTAGGCCCCCCTTTTACCAAAGAATCCGAATTGGTCTCTCTATTTTTTTTTTCAGTTATTTTCTGTTTTTTTTCTTTGTTTATTGATTTGCTTGTTATTTATCTATTTATTATTCATTTTTATTTTTTGTTATTATGTTGCTACACTTGAATTGTCAATTGAAATTTATATATCAACAGCTGCCCCTTTTGAAAAGAACCTAAGATTAAAATGATACCTGAATTTTTTGAACATGAGATGAAATGAGAATATAAATGCACACGACGTAAGAAAAATGATCTATAGACATTACCCGTGAATAGTGAATACTCACATCGGACCTTGATATTGCTTGATGCACTTTTGAGCACCTCACTATGATGATTTATTTTTTTAATTGATTTTTTATTCGATTCGATTTTTTTGTTTTTTTGTTTATTAACGGGGAGTGAGTTTTTTAATATGAAAAGCTCGCCCCACAAACCTCCAATGGAGATGGAGTAACTTTATCATATAAAAATGAAAAACTCACTCCATGGACCTCCAACGTGTAGTTTTTCGTGTTTATGCGATGAACCTAGGAAAATCTACACTTCGAATGTTACTCTATGCTATAGAAGTGAGGTTGTGGAATATGAATTAGGTGGTTCTCATTTTTCTGGTAAAATAAAAGAAGATAGGACCATCAATTACTCAGACCTTAATCGGATCATATCTACTGACCTTCCCGACAGTATCGTCACCGCGGTAGAATTTAACCTTGGAGGTCCATGATGTGAGTATTCTAACCCCGTTGGCCATGGTGTAATTTTGTCTTTTTTCCTTTTTTGGTTAGCTAAAATATTTTAGTTTGTTTTTCTTGTTCTTTGACCTTTGACCCCACGAAAAAAAATTATTTTTACTATCCTTGACACATGAGAACTCATATTATGTTTTGACAAAATTCGTCACAATTTTATTCATTTTTTTATTACTCAAAATAATAAAACAGAACTGATTAAATCCTTATCAATTGACGTCATTATATTAATGTACCCACTGTTAAGACAGGCCGTCCCCACCTACAACGCAGATGTAGGTTATACTTCTACAAGGATGCACAGACTCATTAGCCATGATTTACACACAAAAAGCATGAATTTATACCACGCGTCAAATATCTTTTTGAAACTAAACTTGCAGTTCTGGACATGTTCATGTGAGTATACTGAGAGATAAGAAAAATGCATGATGTTCGATTTAGACTCGTATCTTGATAACTTTAGCTATTAGAAAAACTATTGCCTTTTATGATGCTTTTTTTTGGTCAACTCTTTTATGATGCTTAAAGAGTTTGAATCCTTGCGTTTCATATTTCATGTGCGAGGCCTGATTTACATACGAGGAAAGTATTAAGACATAATTCATGTTGGAATACCTGAGAAATGTGCTTGATACACGAGCAAGTAGTTCATTGATTTTAATTCCTAGACACGAAGCAAGCTCGAAGCTCAAATTGCTAGAATGTATAACTAGCATCTTGATTCCATGGAGGAGTCCGTGTCATGAGCCATCAGGGACATGTACCCGTACCGGTCAGGCCAACATTTCCGGAGACCCATCAAGCTTACACACACCGTAGTCAAAATCGCCCAGCAAAAATTTATCTCTGAGATGGGAAGACAAGATTTAGACTTGGGGTTCTGACTTTTTTTGTGGGGACGGTTTGTTTTGTTAATGATGTTTAATGAGACTTATTTAAATAATCACTTACAGTTTATCACATCACTATAATTCAAATTTAACAAAGTAACATTTTCTTCCTTTAGCTATTCTTTGGAATTGAAATAGAAAACTAGTCGCGTGACTTGCAATTTTACCATCAATTAGACAACAAATGTTTTATATAGGATAAAAAATGAAAAATGCTCTTTGAGAAAAGAGAACAATAATGTATTGAAGATATACCAGGGAAATAGTACTAAACGATTCCTATACTATTGTCACTATTCAATTTTGGTCATCATATATTGTCTTGTGACAAGTTGGGTCCATTATCCTTTCAGAAAAAGTTATATATCTGTCCAATATCGAGGATTATGTTGACTAAGCGTCAGAGATATACAAGCGACAAAATTAACGTGGAAAGAAAACATAATTATTCAAAAGAAATCACAAAATGGTCCCTATGTTATTGTCAATGTTAAATTTTGGTCCCCGTACCTTGATCTTACGATAATATAGTCCTTATCTTTCGATCCCGGTTCCAAATATTTTTCTTCCAAATGCATATAGAAATTATCGAGTAAGTGTCAAATCAATACGTTAGTTCACACATAAAAAAAGATTCACGTGCAAAGAAACTTGCACTTGTGATTCTAGTCAAGGTTTCCTTCTAATAATGTCGCTTTTACTCACACCCTAGCGCATTTGTTATAAAAATTGCCCATATATTGTGGAATAATCATTTTATAAAGGACAATATAACCTAGAATTGTAACACTTCCCTACCTTAATCGGACCATATTGGCGAAAGCAGTACTCAAGAGATGATCATTTAGAGAGTTGCTCTTAGGTCATCAATTCTAAAGACATTAAAAGTTTAAAACAGCCTCACCTTGTCAAGGTTTCCAAAGAGCAAGCCACGTTGCATTTTTTTCATTGGTTATCTGACCACCCCGTTAATGTACATTAAAAGATGGGTTAATATCACGAAAAATCCTAAACTGTTATACTTATGACAAATGTACTCCAAATTAATTTTTTGATCACAAAACCTTTAAAGTGGTACACTTGTGACAAATTTACCATTCGTTAATTCCGTTAAATTTTACAGTTAGATTGCTAAGTTGGATGACATGTGACAGTTGACAAGTGTACTAGTTTAGAGTTTTACCTCTCTATTTGCCACAAGTTTAATAGTTTATGATTTTTCGTGGTATTAATCTAATTTAACGGAGAGTAAATTTGTCATAAGTGTACTAGTTTGAAATTTTTAGTGATAAAAAAATTAATTTGGGATAAATTTATTACAGATATACTAATTTGGAGTTTTTCGTGATATTAGCCATTAAAAGAACACCTAACATAGTACAATCAAATTGTGGGGCCAGCGTCTGTAGAGGGCACCAGATTCGAACCTCCTGGCTCCTCCAAAATTCTTTTAATTATCTATTGACTTTTCTAATCTTGTATTTTGTTTATGTTTTTTCAATGACATGAGTAATATGATATATATACCTAGATATAATTATACTATTGCATTTTACACATGTACTTTAGTATTTGCCAATAATTCTCCACTTGAAAAAAAATTTGTTTTACTATGACACTGTTGTTTTGTCTTTCCTTAATTGATACTCCGTTTAGCCTTTGATATATAGTAAAATAGTGGTGAAGAATCATCAAATTCCTCATTTGGCCCGAACCTTGACACCTCATGCTAAATGATATTTATTTCTCTTTTTTGTTCTTCTATCAAAGTTATTTTCATTTATCAATTGTAACAAAAACATGTACCTTTTGTTTATTTTTGTTGATTAATCTTTGAAGAGGAGGGAAAATCAACAAGATAAAAAAAGATCTGTAGGTTGTTTTATTTTTTAATTTTGGAGTTACTTTTACTTTTTATGAAAATCCGAGTGCCCTGATGAGTGATGCTTAGTTTTGATGCTATGCTGTGTTAGGTATTGGCTCGTTTCGCTCTATACAGTGTCCAGTTGAGAAATTCGAGAATCCTTCGAGCGATTGCCGAGTGCGTGAAGCTTTTGGTGGCGGATTTGAGGCAAAATTCTGTTAACCTAGGTTCTGACTGTCGCTGTTGACGATGATTAGTACTTGATGTGCATAAATCGGAAGTCATTCAAAGAATCTAATGCTGTTAATAGGGTGATTCAATGGCATCATACCATAGGACTAAGGCAATTTACTGCTATAGCCAGGAGAACCATCAGTGGTATTCGCAGAAAATGTCGAATGGTGAAACCATAGGAGGAAAACCCAATGGATAACCTTCTCCATGGACTGCTGTTCTGTCTTGATGTTGCTTTCCTGTTTTGTCCTGTTACTTTGATGGTGTTGTATGGAGTTTTGCAACACTGAATAAGTTAAAGCACAATTGCATTCCCTAGCATAACTCCTATACGACCAAACTTTTCCATGACTTCCTTTTGCCCAAATAACAATAGAAGTTCCAAGTTCTAAGCTCATGTTTGGCACTTGGCACTATTTGTGCTGATTTGAAACTAGAATAGAAATATTATTGATCAGTGTACAAGTATCACCTCCTTACATGTGGATATCAGATTAAATTTTAATATCTGTATTCACCCTAGCTTTCGTTTCCTTACACGCATTCAATCCGTCAAGATCCAATTGATTACCTTCAAGCCAGACCTCCTTGATGTGTTTGCAGTATGTGGCGCACAGATTTAATGTATAGTGGCATTGCAAATCTTTCTGGTATATTTTGTCAGTTTATAGTTGTAAGAAACTAACAAAATCTCCATGTAATGCTTATGTCCTTTTTTCCAGATATATCATAGTGACATGGTATGACAAAATAGACGGAATTGTAATTTAAAAATAGTTGAGATATATGATCCTCTAAATAACTTACTTACTAACATTGAATTTAAATCTAACCGTGGTTTAAATATTTTTCCAATAGTAATGTTTAATTTTATATATAACTCTCTCCACACATTTACAAAAAAATGAATGCGTGTACTTTTTTTATTGTATGGAAAAAAAGCAACTTCATGTATAGATTTAAGAACCTGAATCTTAATCGGCTTGATTCTTCTCTTAGCTATTATTGTCGTGTGACGTAGTAAATACATAACAAGCACACATGGCCATCGGTGTTCGGTCATGCACTAGGCATGAGTACCTTGTGACAGTTCCAAGTAACGTATGAATGAAATCACCAAAAAATTTTGGTGAACCAATCTCAAAAGCACAAGGATAGCGACGAAATCTGAGCATCATTAATCCGGTCAGTTATCTTATAGGATAATGGGAGGGGGAACGGTGCATTTCTCGCCCGTGACGGACCCACCACAGCCGCAAAGCTATTTGTGGAATGCCGGATGACTTACTCATCAAGTTTTGAAAATTCAATTTTAGCAAAAGAACAAGTTTTAAAAAATCAAAAAAGTAAATGGCAACTTGGAGGGGAACAAAGTCTATGTGGGTGGACCCTCACGAGTCGCTGCACAACACTCCTCAAATTTTTTAATTTTTTTATCACCACGTGCATAAATACTTTTAACTCCATCACTCTCAAAGGATGTACAGAAATCATGATGTTTACATATACATTAGGCATCACTCTAGCTACACAGTAATATTTAGAGCTTGCTTACAGTAATTTTTTCTTTTTCTTTTTCGCACATCTTGAGGGGCATCTGTTTTGACTTTTGTTAATCTTAAACACCGAAAATTTTCCTAATAAATGACCATTGACACGAATATTTATATATAATTTTTTTAGTGATCTTTCAAAATTTGAATAATGTTGTAGATTTAACAGGAATGTACAAAAGTTACTTTTAACTTTTGATTAGTCTAGATAAATAAACAATTAGGGTTCAGATTAACATATTTGTCGATTAATATAATTTCAATTAAATATAAAGTGCATCACAAAATTAAAGAGAAAATCAATCACCACACACCGGTAAATGTAATCACCACACACCGGTAAATGTTACTTTCGACAGCTTGACAAAAGACCCGATTGTGTCGGTTTTCCCGAAATCTATTGCATGGATGGATGGTTCAAATTATTAGGAAATCTTGGTGTATGATGGTTGCATAATCAGGGAGGATAGTAAACATCATCATCGTATATTCTACTTCGGCTGATAATACAATATGCGGCTCGTGTCCGGGCAAGCCATCGAAGCAAGCTACAGAACAAATAACCACATTAGTCGGAAACTATCTCGGTTCGCTGATTCATCCTTCAACTCATGATGAACATGAATGGTATTACCAACATCAGGGCACTGGGGACGGTAGGTTGGGTCGGATATGTGCTTTACAGGGTGCACTAATACAATAATAGCCGGGCAATGTTGACCAGGCTCGTATTGTCCTTGATGGCTTGAAACAAGGACTCCTCCATTGAATCAAGATGGTGGTTATTCATTGCAGCAATTTGAGCTCCATGCTCTGCTCCATATCTTGAAATTATATTTGGCAAAATACTTGTTAGACGACCCTGTTTCAGAAAAATAGAAATAATAAGTATCGCCTTCGGACATTTGTGCTTCATATTTTTTGATTAACAATTTTTTTTGAAAGAAAAAGTCCATGTACGGCATCCTAAAAGAATTTGGACAATTCAAGTCAACAAAATCCGTGGCTTACTTTCCTTTTCTATTTACCCTGACCGACTCCCAGTAGCTAGAAAGAAATTGCCTTACGTTTTTCACTTTCACAATTGTCAGTTATTTTAACCACTTCGATTCGAGCCGAGTTTTTTTTGACTGACTCAAACTCGAGACACATTTTAGCACAATCTATGCAGGGTACATATTGTTTATGAACAAAACACCATTTACAGAATCAAAAACTGACAGTGGACGTGATCGGACATGGGAGTTGTTCTTTTCCAGGAAAGGAATTCAAGACTGCATGAATTTACTCGCTGTCCCCCAACTTACCGAAGGAGGCTGGACTACAGCAGTGAAGAGATATTGGGGTTCGCAGTCAATGCTTACCTCCGACCACCGTGACCAGCTGGAATGTTGTTTGCCAATTAGTCTCCAAGCTTTGGGTGAATTACTCTCTTCCTTCCTTGCCGAAGTACAACGTGCTCCGGGGCTGCGAGTTGAGCAAACACATCTGTAAGACCCATGAGAACGCCAGGAAACGTCGGGTGCGCATGCGTCCACGATGCACAGCTCGCTTCCGGAAAATAGCGAAAAGAAAGAGAACATCGCGGGTGTGCTCTCTTCCTCTCTGTCTTCTTTCGCGGGACTCGCGATTCGTAGCTAATGACTGGATGCATCATCGGAGGATTATAGCCTTGTATGTGCATTCTAGGTGGGACTTTATGGTGGAACCCATATGTGCTTTATATGGTGGCAAGGTTTTGGCCTGATTTCACGGTGGGTGCTCTAATGTAATAATGGACAATTGATCGGGATTTAATTGATTCTATTTTATTATCTTCAATTATTTAAAAAAAAAACGAACGAAATTGGGACAAGCGTGTCGAATTCTAAGCACGACTCAAATGCAAGACCCAAAAATACAAAATATAATATGAGTTATCATGTTCAAGGATAGTAAGAATAAATTTTTGGTGGGGCCAAATGTCAAATAACAAGAAAAACAAATTTAAATTTCTTAGGAGAATACAAAATAACTAAGCGAAAAAAGGGAAGCCACGCCATTGACGATCCTGAGCTTGAGGCATTTACTTTCTTCAATAGAGATTTGTTGCCAAATATTAAGGCTCCATTTATTTCGTGGAAGTCTTAAAACTTGTTAAAAAGTGTAATTGAGTCATAATACTTTCAAAAAGTGCAATCAAGTTTCAACACTTGTCAAATTGGTACGATAAAGTCATTTTGCTAACTTCGTTTAACTTGACTAATGAAAACTACTGACATAGCTTTTTATTTTTATTTTCTCTCTCCTACATAATGAGATAAAACAACATTGTTTTGGTCCAACTATGATTTTTTTAATCCAAATTTTATTTAAATTAAATTAAAATAAGATAATAAAAAAGGAGGGTAGAAAAACCCACCCCCGCACCACCATTGCCAGTTGGGCATGGCAGGCCCTTACTTGCAATCGACGAGAGTTGCCGTCCACTAGCCGAGGCCCGGCGACTCCCAATGGCCATCGCCCCACCATTGCCAGCGTTTCCCAGCTATGGTGGGACAGCAGCAACCCTTGTTTACTTTTTCCCTTTTTTGTTTTTCTTTTAAGTTAGCTTATTTTTAATACAATTTTAAAATAATTGTATTAAAAAAAATCAAATTTTGAACAAAACGACGTCATTTTAGCCACGTCAGTGCCACGTAGGATAGAGAAAACAATTTTAAAAAAAATCGCGTCAACATTTTCCGTTAGCCAAGTTGGACGGAGTTAACCGAATAACTTTATTGCATCAATTTGACAAGTTTTAGGATTCAATTGCACTTTCGTGACAAGTTTTAGGATTTTCACTTCACTTATCCAAAATAGAAAACTAGTCACATGACTTGCAAGTTTACTATTAATTAATGAATTAATGTTTTACATCGAATAAAAAAGGAATAGTGATGTTTGAGAAAAGAAAACATAAAAGTATAGGAAAATATACCAGGGGAAAATTAAAAAATGACCTATACCATTGCCACTATTCCATTTTGGTATCTTACCTTATCTTGTGACAAATTGGGTCCATAAACTAATCACTGGTTATCATTTCGAGGCAAAAAATATATAACCGTTTATGAACGGAATATACTCAGTCACTAAGAGCCAGAGATAGACAAGCAACGCTAATGTGAAAATAATTATTCAAAAGAAATTACAAAATGGTTCCTATATTTTACCATAGATTCAGTCCTCAACCTGACTTGTGATGCCAATTTCGAATATTTTCTTCCAAATGCAGACAGAAATTGCCGAGTAAGTGTCACTGCCAAATCAATATGCTAGTTCACACAACTTGAAGAAGCTATCTTTTCAAGACAATCCACATCTAGAGAAACTTGCACATGTGGTTCTATTTAGGCTTTCCTCAGATATCTTGTAATATCACTTCTGCTCGTGCACTATAGCGTATTTGTTATAACAATTGCCCGTTTATTGTGGAATAATCATTTTAGGAAGGACAATTTAGCTTGGAGTTGCAATGCTTGCAAATTCTCGAAAGTAATATTTAAGTGGTGATCAATTGCTAATTAGATAGACTTGCTGCTAGGACATCAGTTCCAAAGACACGAAAACAACCTTACCTGGTCATGGTTCCTCAAGAGTCAGCCACGTGTCAATTTTCGTTGGTTGTCTTCCCCCATGAATGTATGTATATTCAAAGATAACCAAATATAGAACAACCAAACTGTGGGGCCGGCGTTTAATTATCTTTAATTATCTTTTAACTTTTCTAATCTTGTATTTTGTTTTTATTATTTCAAGAACATGAATGATTATGATATGTATACCTATATTTAATTAGACTGTTGCATTTTGCACATGTAATTAGTATTTGGCAATAAATCTTTACTGAAAAAGTATTTGTTATACTATGGCGCCATTATTTTATCTTTCATGTATTGATACTCTATTGAACCCTTGGTATATAGTAAAATAGTTGCAAATAATCATCAAATTCCTCGTTCTTCCCAAATGCGTTTTCATGATCACGAATATTATTATACATAATTTTTTATTAATGTACTTCGTGATAATGAATGAAGCAGTCGAACCTTCCTTAAAACTAACTACCTGTGATTTATTTGACGTGTCAAACTACATGACAAAGTTATTTTTCTGCAACGTCCCCACTAGTTTTGCACTATTATAGCACGTTGATGCCACATTTTGATCTTTAGCTCTTAGCTCTTCCTTTTTGTTTGCATTTGGACGAAAAAAAACGTACGACGTTCTTAGAATCAGGATTGAACATTGGTCCACTGACCAATTACGCAACAAAAATAAAGTACCGAGAATCAAAATTGAACGTGAGTATTAGTAGATGGACCATTTATGACATTTCCTCTCAAATTTTAAGTTGTGATTTACGCATCAATGCCGCATGCTCATCGCCAGTGTTTACCGAGCACTTTCTGTCATCATTTGGACGAAAAACACACAATCGGTCCTAAACACGTGACGTGGGATTAGTTTAGGGACCAAATCCCGTCGCAAAATAAAGTACAAGGACAAAAAACAATAGTGAACGTCCGAGGCAGCATCGGTAAGGAGCAACCAATTATCAACCGTTGATTCATGTAAATGATGCATGTATTGACGATTGAGATATGTTGAGACACTTACGACCCGTGGATGCATCTTACGGGATGAAGATATCACGTCCAAAATAAAAATAAGAAAAGATCGAGGACGACCGATAATAAATCTTAAATGGATATATAGTCGGGCCTCGCTTAAAGCTTAAATCCCACTCTCCGCTAAACATAAAAAAGATCATCGCTGAGGACTTGGGCGACTTCCTTCCCCATGAATCTCTCCATGCATCAAGCCCATCTCCCAGGAAATCTCTGACTCCCCAGCCCTTTTCTTGTATATAAAAATAAAAAACAAAAATAGTAATCGACAATCTGTCTATATATGTCTATACTTATACTAAACCAAAATTATTCTACTCTCGCTTTCCTGGGATTCTCTGTTTTGACTCTTGTGTGCTTTTGACCACAATTGGAAAATTTTACCTAGCAACCCAATTCGTTCGGCATACTTCATTAATATTACACAGAATGGGTCGGGTTAATGTTCTTTCGCCTCGTGACCCCGATGTGACCCGACCTCGATGTGACCCTTTTTGCCTCATGAGCCCGATGTGACCCCGCAATTCCACATCGACAACGTCAAATTACCCATTAACACCCAACCCATCCTGTGTTATTTTCTCAAGTTGGTTAATGTGTATCTTTCCCGTTGTGTTTCTGTTTCTCCCTGGCCGGAAGCCTATAGGTTCGGGCGAGAAAGGAAGAGACTCGGCGAGGCAAAGTGTGAAGGTCAATGGAGAACAACGAGCCAGCTGATCGCGGTCGTCGGAGGTAAGCTTCGTTGACCTCAGACATGTCTTGAGCAATGTAGCCCAGCCTCCGTCAGTAAGTTGGAGGATTGCGAGTAAAATCATGATATTCTTGCCGGTTCTCATCTCTGATCATGTCCACTGCATGTATTCCACAATAGGAATGCTGTTTTATCTGGAAAAAAACCTGCACTCTACGTAAATCTGGTGAACTTTTGTACCGCCCAACTTTTTTCCCATATTCTTTTTATCCTTTTGTTATTGATCCAGGGCTTTTGTTCTCGATTTTCATATTGGTTCTGACTCTCAAAATAGAGCATGTACTTAGGTGCACATTTAGCAGATGTAAAATGGCTTGTTTTTCGCATTTCCTGTATTGGGCTAGTTACGTTGTACCGCCTAGATTTTGTCTTCTATTCTTTTGCTAAACGATCCAGGTTTTTGTTCTCAACGTTCATAATAACTTGATTGTCAGAAACAGAGTATGTTGGGTCATA